GCACTGCAGGGGGAATTCCTGTCTCTTCAGCCCTGCCTGTGCCAAGGCACACACAGATGCTCCTTTCCCCGACACTATGTAGGTTAATAACATGCAATGCGATGGCAAGACACGGGGAACCGCAACACGATGTCAATATTTAGCTTTTACACGTTTGGCTAATTAGAGAGCAACCTGTGATTCCCTCGGAAGGAGGCACGGCTGCTTCGCCCCCCCTCTCCCTCCCTCCCCTCCTGCCTGTTCCCCGTTCAGATGGGATAAACGTCAGCTCATTATTTCTGGAGTTCGCTGGTCGCAAACGGTCTGTCCCAAAATGCTATTCCCAGGCACTGGATGTCAGAAATCATTATACTAAATAAAGCCTCATGAATGATTCATGAGGCTGGGTTTCACATTAATCAGGGAGAGCTGGGCACAGGCAGCAGACCCGCCGTGCCACGCTCCCGCACAGCCCGGTCAACGGGAAGGTTTGGACCTTCAAGGCCCAAATCAGAGACGTGGTGGCAATCAGAGGAAGACCCTGGCCCCAGCACGATCAGAGCCTGACCCAGCAGGGGCCAAAAGAGGCAGCAGGCCATTGCCCAAATACCTTTCTGCTTCAGGAGCTCCTGTGACTCGATCACGTTAATGAGCCCAGGGCAGGCGGCTGCTCTGAGCACCCTGAGATGCACGACTGCTTTCCACGTGAGCCCTGGTGCCCAGTACAGGGCTGGGCCAGTGCTTGGGACTCATGTACTGACTCCCTGGCTCCGTGCACCATGGCCTCTAAAAATAGAAAAATGTTTTCCCAAAATGTCATTGGGAGGCTCCTTCCAGGGCCCAGGCAAATGGGGCTTCTGCCTGGATCCCACGCTGCATCCCAGCACAGGCTGCTCACCAAAAGGTATCTACTTGGAACACAAATGCTTCTTCCACTGCTCCAAGACTTTGGAAAGAAGGTAGATGTCTCCCCTCTCGGTATTTAAAAAGGCAAGCCCTGAACTTTGTGGACCAATCAAAGAACAAGGAGTGCCCTCAACACAGCAGTTTGTGGAAGGAGGTGATGAAATGTATTCATTTTGCAGGAAAAAGTGCCCATGCCCCTCCCAGCCATCCAGGCTCAGCCAGCGAGCTCTCATCCACCTGCATCCTGCATCTTTGGCTTCTCCTCCGCTGCTTCCTCAAAGATTCCTAGAAAAAAACCCCTAAAAACTACAAAAATATGGTGACAAGCAGCCAGGCCAGCTGTACAGCAGGGAAAAATCCACAGCCAGCCCTGCAAACCTGGGCTCTGACATGGAGACAGCAGTGATTCTCCATGCAGCAGCAGAGGAATATCTATCAGGAGGCCGAGGAGCCGTCAGACATCCCTGCCCCCCCCTCTGTGGCTCTGCAGCCTTCCCAGGGCTGGCAGTGAGTCACCAGCCCTGACCCACGGCAGGGCTGAGCTGCTGCCAAGGGCACCTGGGGGAGTGAGGGGGTCCTGTGCCAGCCTGGGCCCCCAGAGCCACCCTGCAAAATAACTGTAGTGATAATTCACCAGCTTTCCCTTGAAATTTTCAGCTGGGCGGGGACTGAAGGGCCCCAAACCCATCGGCCCCTCTCTGGTAGAGATGCAAAGCCTCAGGGCAGGTTTGCTGCCCTGCTTCCACCAGTGCCAGGCCCTCACCTGGGTTTGCTGTAGGATGAAATCATCCACAGGATCAGGTCAGTCTCAGGGAAATGGCACCTCCCTTTGTCCTTGCCCCCTCTGTTAATTACTGCTCCATCCTGCCTGGACACACCAGCAGGAATCAGAGGCCACCCCTCGCTCCCTCGGTGGCCGTGGCTGTGCACATCTATCAAAAGCAAAATGCAGGGCAAGTGTCTGCACTGCACGAGCCTGTGGAGAGTCAAAGCTCGCTGCACTCTTGGTTACCCACATTATTCAACCTGCAATATTGTAAGGTTTAATTACAATTAAAGTTGTGCTCCATCTTCACGTGTCTCTCTCCTGGCGGAGGAGTGAGCCCGTGCTGCCTGTGCAAGTGTGGGTATGAGGATTGTTTTTTGTGGCTTTCTCTGTACTGGTAAATGAAATGTGCTTGGGCTGACCGGCACCAAAGCTGGGTGTCAGGGAACAGAGCAAGTCCTGCTATTGACTTTTCCTCTGACACCACACTGCCCTTCTGCCAACACCCCTGCCCGTGACAGCTCCTAGCCCTGCTGGGAATGGTCTGGAAAGGGCTGCCTGGCCCATGGGAATCCCTGGCCTGGGATATTCCAGCAGATTAATGATGAGCCTGGGAATGGCCCTTGGTTTTGTTGAATTCAGTTTTGGGGTTGTGTCCTGGGTGTTGGAGGACAGTGGAACAACCTGTGTCAGAGACAGAGCAGAGGGAAGGGATGCAGCACGTGGAGATTGCAAGCTGCTGTAAAATGGAGGCTCGAGGCAGGTGGGAGCCCTCCAGGTAGTAAATCACTGCTCTGAAGTGCCTGACCTTACACTGCAGCATCTCCCTGCTCCATCTCTGGAGGCTCTCCATCTGTATAAAATATAGCCCCCACTGCAGTACGACTTTCCTGGTTTCCTCATGTTTCCAGTTACAGCTTCAGAGTCCAACCGCAAGCCAAGGTCTCCAGCAAGTTCAGGAATGTTCATTAATCTCTCCTGGCTCAGGCACCCAGTGGGCTCAGTAAAACTCCAGTCCAGGAGAGTTCCAGGCTGTCAGAGGCATGGGCTGTTGCAGGCCATCCACCATAATCCTACCCCATGCCTGCTGCAGATGGATGGCAATGAGTCACCTTACTGCAGGGGGCTGGATGTGCAGGTGTATGCAAGGGCTCCAGAGAATGAATGAGGCTGGGTAAATAACTTCCAGCATGAAACAGGCTGATATCCCCCCGGCAGCAGCACCTACAGACACCCTGTGTGGCTCTGGGAGGAAGATGGGGGTTGTAGGGAGAGGATCCCCCAGAGTTTGTGTCCCCAGTCTTCTCCTCCTGCTTAGAGGATGCTGCCATCACAGCTGGGCTTTCCCTCCCCGTCACTCCATGGGCTGGCTCCAGAGAGAGGCATGGGAATGGGGACAGCTGATGGCACAGGAGTGGGAGTAGCCAATGGCATGGGAAGGAGAAGCCCAAACCCCTCCAGTTGGAGCAACCCCCTCCCAGAGCTCGGGGGATAAACACACCAGCGAGCACAGAGAGACTGCTGGGGAAAGCCCATGGATTTAGTATTAAGTCTTTGCCGCTGAGAAACACAAGACCAGGCTTTTGCATCTGCCCTAATTTAGCTCTTTCCCTCTGGAAAGGACTATTTGTGAAATGCTTTGTGCTCATGTCCCCGGCATTAATCAGCCCCCGTCAGCCGCTGGCTCCACGGATCCACCCCGAGCTTGCAGGTGCTCCGCTCTCTCCCACCCTCCCACGTGGCAGGTACCCAGCAGCTCTGGCCTTTCTCAAGAGGTATCCAAGGGGCTTGAAAAGTGCTTGAAGAGTTTTTTTTTTTTTCTCCTTTAATTAAAGGAGCTCTGCAGACATGCTACATTAATATATATTTTCTGCTATTTTTTAATTTATTGCTACATCAGCTATTTAAAAAAAAAAAAAAGGCAGAAAGAAGAAAGGAAAAGGGAGCTGCCACAAGCTGAGCGCCTTTTGGGATGACTCACTGCAGCACTGAAATGGCTGCTGGCTTCAGCCTCACCCTGCCTCTGAGATTCCCTCCCAGACTGCAGGAGGGACCACGGCAAGAGGTGTCGGCCCCATCCCCGCGTGGAGAATTGGCCGTGTGGTTATCGACACAACCCGCCCCGGGCTTCGAGGGGCGGAGACCTGCCTTCCTCAGGAGAGGGAGATGGGGGAAGATGTGAAAGGAAGAGATGGCGAGGCGTTTCCAGCTGACCTGATTTTCTGCTGGTTCCCATCTCCACATCACTGACAGTTAGCTCAGGAGGGCGGTGGGGGCATGGGGCTGGCCTGTGCCACAGGGAGCTGTGCCCTCCCAGGGCAGTGGCAAACCCAGCTGTGCCGAGGAAGGGCCCTTACAGCTGGGAAAGAGCCTTAAAATGTGAGTCTTCCTTTCCTGCCACAGCTTGCCAGTGTCAGTGCAAAGTCAGGTCAACAAGCTCTGGTCAGCTCATGGCAGAGTCGGGCTTTTTGCCTCCGAGTTCGTGCAGAAAAAGGAAAATTCACCTCAGGTGCCATTGATGCTGCAGCCAAGTCCCCTCTGAAGGATTCTGTGATGCCAAGCACAAACCTGCACAGGGCCTCTGCAGCCTGGGAGGTGAACTTCCCTCTTCTTCAGCTGCTTCCAGCCAGGGCTTTGACCTGCAGCAGGAGACATGGAGGTGTCTCCCCTCCCTTCTCCCAGAGTGATCCCTCCAGCCTGAGGGCAGTAGGGGCACAGCCCCAGCAACTCCCTGCCGTGCTTCCCACTCAAACTACAGCTGCTCCACATGGCCCAGGGACACTCAGCAAACCTCCTGGTGCTGGGAGAGCTGATTCTGGGGGACAGGGTTCAGACCTACTCCGTGGCAGAGCATAAGTGGGGCTCTGGTGCAGGCACAAAGTGCCGGATGGAGTGGGCGCCCTTGCAGTGCCAGGCACGGCTCCTTCCCTGAAAAATGGCTGGATGAGAACTATTTTCAGAAGGGAAAAGCAAATTCACCCTGATCACCGTATGTCAGTGACAGGCGGAGAAAGCCCCACGTGGGAGCCAGCCCTCCTCCCACCCTGTGGGCTGCACCCCCCTGTCAGCCGGGCTTGCATCTGCCTGGAGCAGACAAAGATGGGCATGTTTATCTTGCAGCTTCCAGGGATGCTCAGCCATCCCTAATTGCCATAAAAATAAATGCTTTTTTGCTTCATATCACAGAACAGAGGAATTTCCCCCTTTTTTTCCCTTTTTTTTTTTTTTTTTTGTTTCTTTTCTGAGGCCTCCCTCAAAGTCATCCCTTCCCCCTCCCTCCGCTGCTTCTTTCCCATGTAAACAAGCACAGGCACACACAGTCTGACACATCACACACATGGAGACACGCTGATGGCCCTGCAGCGGCCAGCGCTGCCTGGCACAGGGACAGGGCTGGCAGCACACGCGGGAGGCGGGCGTGCGGGCCGAGGGGGAGGATGCTCGCCACCAAAAAGAGCTCTCAGTCCGCCTCGTGCAAGCCCGGAGAAGGCTGAGAGCCCACGGGCTCCAGCCCCTCGGACTGGAATCAGCGAGCCGATGATGGGATGCAGAGGGGGGTGTGAAGTCTCGCCCCGGTGCGAGCCGCCTGTCTGACACAGCTGCTCTGCGCTGGCTGCCGGAGCAATGAGCCATCGCTGCGGGGACATGCAGCCCCGGCCGTCACCCCGGGAAGGTCTCTTTCCCATCCTCTCCTTCCCGTCTCCCTGCTCCAGCAGCTGACTTCTGGGGGAGTTGGTGTGTTCGCAGCGCTCCCCAGGCCGTCTGGGGATGGCCCCGGGCGGCGGCGGCAGCTCGCTGACCTGAAACCCAGCGTGTGCCATGCCCGGGACTCGCTGCTTTCACTCACCTCCCAGGGAGCCTTTAAAGAGACACTGGGGAGCTCAGCAAGCCAGGGAGGCTCTTCCCTGGGGGGCTGCCCCGGTGCCCTACACACCGCCCATTCCAAGGAGCAAGATGGAGCTGGATCGCGTGGAGGGAGACTGCGAGGGCAGGGGGGCATAGTCTGCCCAGAGCAGGGTGGCACCGCTGCTGGGGCCCTGCTCGGCCTGAACGCCCTCGGCACGGGACCGCCCGGGACTCCCCAGCTCGGGGGGCTCGGCCCCAAAGGCAGCGCTCGCCTCTTGGGCAGCTTCGCAAAGAACCGGGGTAGCCCAGGCCGAGTGGGGCCGGTACCCCCACCGCGGCTCCCGCAGCCAACCCGTGAGCTCTCCCGGCTGCCAAGGACTTCCAGCAGGTAAGAAAGACATCGGGACAGGCAGGGGTACCCCACGCCTGGTCCATATTCCCGGCTCGGCTCCGCTTGACAGCCGCGGCGCTCCTGAAATGCCAAAATCAGGTACCCGCTCCTGTGATCCGGGTGGGCTCCTCCGGGCATCCTCAGCCCTCTGCCCTGCGCAGATCTCGGGGCCGCCGCGGAGGAACCGGGGGGAAGGTGGCAGAGGCATCCGGGACCGGGGGCTGGGAACCGGGAGTGGGGGACCGGGATCGCCCGCACTGCTCCCGCGCCGCGGTGCCGGCGGGCGGGCGGGGGGCGGCACCGGGAGGGGCGGCGGGCGGGACCCCCCCGGGCCCCGCGGAGCCTCTGCCGCCGCCGCCGGCCCCGCAGGGCTCTGGGCTCCGCGCCGGGCGCGCTCGCTGCGGCGGGGGCGGCGCCGAGGCAGGTGAGCGGCGGAGCGGGCCGGGCCCCGACACCGGGGAGCTGCGGGCACCGGCAGCGCGGGCACCGCGGCACCGGCACCTGGGGCGGGCGGGGGAGAGGGCAGTGGCATCCCCCGGGGCGGGGCGGGGGACCCGCGGCACCGGCATCCCGGGGAGTTGCAGGCGCCGACATCGCTGGCATCCCGGGGCGCGGCGAGGACCGTGAGATCGGTAACACGGGGACCGGGGCACCGGCATCCCGGGAACGCGGGGTACCGGCATCCCCGGGCACCGCAGGGATCGGCACCCTGGGGCGCGGCGGGGACCCGGGGCACCGGCATGCCGGGGTGAGAGGGCAGCTGGAGCAGCGGCACGCAGGGATGAGCGGGGAAGCGAGGCACCGACATCCCGGGGTAAGCAGGGAGCCGCCGTGCCAGCACCCGCATCCCGGGATGCTGTTGGGACCCAGGGCGCAGGGACACTCCACGTCCCTCTGCGGACGGGTGTAGGGGAGTCCCTCTCCCCGGAGCTGCATCTCTCCCTCCCCACGGAAGGAGCATGGTGCGGGGTTCCCTCTGGAGAGCTGTGCACCCGCTGCGTGAGACCTGGGAGCGGAGGCTGGCACAGGGCAGGGATCATCTACAGCCGGCGCTGAGCTGCCCGCTGGCAGCAGACAACCGAGCTGTTGGTAATCACCCCCTCTTGCACCCCAGGCGAGCAGGGAGTCCCCCCGTCATGTCCATCCCCAGCCCTGGGCATTTTGGTGGCCTCTCATCCTACAGCAGCAGCTTACACTCCGCCTGCAGGGAGCAGCCAGCAGTGGGAATCCCCCTTCCATCCTCCCCACTGCCTGCCTGGTAAACCCTCACCGCCCAAGACAGGGCTTGGTCTTGAGCACATTCAGGCTGATGTGCACAGGGACGCTCAGAAATGGGGGCAGGGCTCTGCAGGGGCAATTTTGGATGACCCAGTGCATGGGGACACCACCCTACAGGAGCTGGGCGGTCACCCAGCCCCAGCACACCTTCAGGTACCCAGCGTTGGACCCCCAGCCCCACCCCGGCCCCATGGACATCCCGCACAGGATCTCCTCAGTGGTTTACAGCCACCACCCTGGCACACCTGGGACGTGCAGGGTCACAAGCCCGGGCTGACAGGGCATTTAGGTCTGGGCTACAGGGCGAAGGATAAAGGATTCCTCCTCCTCTACGAATTTCTAATGGTTCCTCTGAGACAAGCCACACGACCCCCTGCTGGGAAGCCTCACTGAGCTGTAAGTACAGGGTTTTTTTATTTGAACTGTTAATCTAAATCCACTGTACCTGGTTGGAAAAGACCCTGTGTGCAATACTCCCTGCACTTGCTGCCTCCTCGCTTGAATGTCTATTAGCACCTTCCTTCCCACTCCCTTGGGTCCCCTCTGACAGGTAGAATAAATATACATAACTTCCATCTGAAAGCCTTTGAGAAAAGAAATATGTTGTCAAGGGAAACTCTTCTAGCATTTCTTATAGATATGCTTGATCTGGTTTTATATTTTTTTTTTTTTACTGTCATAAATGCATGTATCAGACATTTTTCTTCTCCACAACACAGATATTCAATTGAACGCCCAACACCCAGCTCACACTGGGCTTGTGTAATTCTGATGGTTGTCTCAAAATAGCTTACAATATATTTCAACATTTATCAGAGAGAGACTGGCTTTATCTGTTCCATTTTTCTGATAATTCGTGGAAATTTTGGGTTAACTAAAGGAAAATTTTGCAAATTCACTTTGTTCCAGACAGACACATTTGTATTCTCTCTCTGTTGTGCTTTAAAATCAAAAATCACCCAACCTTCCTAAAGTGAGCTTCTGTTTCCCGGCTGATATCCCTGCAAGTGTGAGGGGGGAGCACAGCGAGGGACATCACATCGGGTCTCAGTTCAAACCCCAGTTTTGTTCCAAAGCTGAGCTTAGCTGGTCGTGAAACAAGTAGGCAACAGCCATAAAACTATTAATTGCTGCTTTAAGATTCCTGGATGAAAGCTGCACGTGGGCAGAAATAATTTGTTCTATTCAGAAGCGAACATCAGAAGGGAGCAGCTCTGGTGGTTCGTGACCCTTCTCCTCACTCTGCTTCTGGCACAGGAGGGATGGAGGGGCTTGCCTGGGGTACAAAGGCTTGCAGGGTCCTGACACCCACCTTTTTCTTTTGAGCTGGGAGAGAGGTGGGAGCTGGCTCCCTCCTGGCCCCCAGGGTTTGGCACAGCTCACCCAGAGCCACAGCTGTGCACTGGGGATGGTCCTTGCCGAGCTGGAGCATCGCTCCGGGCTTGTCCTGCTGTCCTGGGCTGCCCTATGCCTCAGCCCAGCCCCCCAAAAACACCTTGCCTTTGATTTTGGTGGCATTTGGCCTGACCTCTCAGAGTGGCTGCTCTATAGGGAGAGTGGGGAGACAGTCTGAGGCTGGTTTGGGGACAAGCTGGATCCCACAGAGCACCCCCAGGGCCCCGTCTGTGTGTGTTTGTAGCCTGAATGCATGAGCATCCTTCTGGAAGGAACCTGGATTAGTCATCCACACCCCACAGATGGGCTGTGTGATGTCTTCTCTGGGAAAGCTAATCTGTCACTGAAATTCCAGTTTATCCCTGAAAAGGAGTGTTTACATCCCTTTTTCTCCCTTGCTTTTTTCTGAAGCACTGAAAGAGTTCTCCTCCTTCCCTCCCCTTTCAAGACAATGAGTCCATTAAGCTCTGAGGTTTATCACGTTGCCTCCTCCAGCCCTGGTGTAATGGAAGCGCTGGCCTTGTGGTGCAAAGCTGTGTGTTTAAGGAGCCCTGGTTGGGAGGTGCAGTGGAGTTAGCAGATGCCTTTGCCAGGCTATTTCACGCAAATCTGGCATTTGCTGCACCCACAGCCCCGCTCAGCTTGAAAACAAACCTCTGGGGTTTAACCACCACTCGGTTACCTGCCTCTAAAAGTTTGAAAAATTCTGTGCGTGGCAGAGGACAGGAAAATCCCTCAACCAAGAGAGCAACGCAGTGTCCCTCAGCACCCACCATCCCATCCCAGGAGAAGGGGACCCCATGAGTACAGGGCTGCTCTGTGCATCCCCAGGTGTTCTGATGAATAAGGGAGGTGAAAAAAAAATCTGATTTCAAGGTGATACAGAAAGATCACAAACCTTTTATTTGCCCTTTTTTTTGCTCCCAGTCAAGACAGGTAAATGCATCTGAAGGTGTGGGAATGCTGCTCTTTCTTAGATGCTATAACTGCTTCTCATTAGAAAATGGAATTTCTGCTGCACGGAAAAGCCCAGCTCCCCAAAACTTATAAATTCCTAAAACACAATAGAAATCAAAACTTTGGGTTTTTATTTCCCCGCTGACATACAGACTTTTATTCAGGCATCGATGATTCTGAATCACGCTTTTGTTATGTTTCAACATTATAAAAATAATATTAATATTTTACATGACAGGACACACAAGAGGAAACAAAACAGGCAGTTGAATTGTTTTGACACTTCTTCCTCTGAAATTCTCCCTAAAACTGACACCTTCTGTGACAATACTTTGATTTCGGCAAAACCGCCTGTGCTGCTGGGAGAATTGCACCATCTGAGGACTTTTTGACCGGGTCTAATTAGCAGCGGAGGTAGTGGGGCTACAAAACACTTGGGCAGAATCACAGCAGCGGTGGTTTGATGAGGTCTAATTTTTCCTCAGGGATGCTTTTTGGGGGATAAATCCTCTCTCCGGTGACTAATTACCTGTTTGAACAAGGAGAGCCCCATGGAGGAGGTGCTGGAGGTGCAGTGAACTGCCTTCTTTTGGCATTAACGACCTGCAAAGGGAGAAACTTCAAGAGGTAAACAAAGCAAGGAATAGTTTCACCTGCAAAAAGTCATTGGTTGCTTCTTTTTTCTTTTCTCTTTTTTTTCTTTTCTTTTTTTTTTTTCTTTTTTCTTTTTTTTAGCTTCCATACCACAGAAGAACAACGGTCTAAAGCTGTTTCTCTCCCCTCCCCTCGGTCCTCACTTTCCAAAATTCCAACATCCCTCCTCACTCCCCGGGGTGCTCCCGGCCCCGCCTCACCCACACCGGGGGCAGCCCTGCGTCCCCTCCAGCCCCGCCGTCTCCTCCACAGGTGGAACCAGCTCCTGCTCTGCTGATCATGGTCAACAAGACCTTAAATTACTGGGGTCCCAGTTTTGAGGAGGACGTTATCAACATCAACGTGGGGGGTCTGAGGAGGCGGCTCAGCTCCAGTGCCCTCTCCAAGTTCCCTGACACGCGCCTGGGGCGCCTGCTCTCCTGCGACTCGGAGGAGTCCATCCTGCAGCTCTGCGATGACTACGACGTGAGCGCCAGGGAGTTCTACTTCGACAGAAACCCCGGCTTCTTCCTCTACGTCCTCCACTTCTACCAGACGGGGAAGCTGCACGTCATGGAGGAGCTGTGCGTCTTCTCCTTCTGCCAGGAGATCGAGTACTGGGGCATCAACGAGTTCTTCCTGGACTCCTGCTGCAGCTACCGCTACCACGAGCGCAAGCTGGAGAGCCGGCACCACAACTGGGACGAGGAGAGCGAGGTCAGCAGTGTGGACACGTCCCCCGACGAGATCTCTGACATCAACCACGACCTGCTGCGCTACAGCACGCTGCGCTGCGGCAACCTGCGCAAGCGGCTCTGGCTCACCATGGAGAACCCCGGCTACTCCATCCCCAGCAAGCTCTTCAGCTTCGTGTCCATCAGCGTGGTGCTGGTTTCCATTGCCACCATGTGCATCCACAGCATGCCCGAGTACCAGGAGGTGGACGAGAACGGCAACGTGCTCGACGAGCCCATCCTGCACAAGCTGGAGTATTTCTGCATCTCCTGGTTCACCTTCGAAGTGTCCTCCCGCCTCCTGCTCTCCCCCAACCCCAGGAAGTTCTTCAAGCACCCGCTGAACCTGATTGACATTGTCTCGGTGTTGCCCTTCTACTTCACCCTGCTGGTGGACGTGACCATGGGCAGTGACTCCGAGCTGGGCAACCTGGGCAAGGTGGTGCAGGTGTTCCGCCTCATGAGGATATTCCGAGTGCTGAAGCTGGCTCGGCACTCCACTGGACTGAGGTCACTGGGGGCCACCCTGAAGGTAAACTGGCTCTCTGTCTCCTTTTCTACTCCTTTAGTCTCTGGGGAAGGAGGACACCCCTGGTATGGCCAGGGGATATGGAAGTCCCCTTTCCCACTGGGCTCCCAGCTCTGGGTGGTGCCTGGCAAGCTTCCTTAGGGGGGTGGGCTGGGCTGTTGGTGCGTCTGCTAAAGCAAACAAGTGTGAGGAGCACTGCATGAGTCCTCGTTTCACACACACCCATCCAGCCCGGTTTGCTCCATGCAGAAATCTGCTTCCAGGGACTCGGCCATCCCACCATGGCGTGAGGGCCTCATTGCCCAGCACTGGAATGGACTCAGCCATGTGTGGGTGGATGGGGATGTCCCCCCAGAAACGAGTCTGTGCCCAGTTGGGCTGCAAATGACCTGCTGAGCAGGTACCAGGCCGGGCAGCAGCTGCTGGGTCTGCCAGCACCAGTGTTTGGGGTCAGAGCTGCTCCTGTCCCTAGTCTGGGACAAGGGGGAGCCTCCTAAGAGCAGGCTGCCAGCTGACTGTTGGTGTCTGCCCATCTAGGGAGACACAGAGATCCTGGTCCAGGGGAGCTGACACTTGGATGCTCCCGGATTCAGTGAGGTTGGGACTGGCACATGGGTAAGCATGTGTGGCACAGAGCAGCAATAGAAAAGCCAAGGGTGAGCTGCAGAGCCCAGGACAAGCAGCCCCAGGCAGGGTCTGTGCTCTCAGCACAGCCCTCAGCAGAGCCTGGGCCCCTCAGAGTGATGGAAAACTCAGCATGTAGGGCTGGGGAAAGCCGGACCCAGGACCACACTGTCCTGGGGAGGAAGGGTTGGATGAGGAGATGCTGAGACAGGACTCAGGCATGCTGGGAGGTGGCACCCCTGCAGGTCTGGTGAGAGGGTGCACATCCTCCATAACATGCCCCAAGGCTGTGTTTCTCCAAACCCCCTCCACAGCACCCCCAGCCTCTTTAGACAGACCAAAGGCAGCTTGAAATCTGTCACGAAATTGTCACCATCCCGGTGCTGCAGCCAGACCTGCATCGCTGCAGCTCAGCAGGGTGGCACAGACCAGCCTCCACATGGTTCTGCTCCTAACAGAGCCTGAAATTCAACCAAAGGGACACTCTTCCTACTGCCTGGCATGGGACAGAGCTGCAGCTCCTGGTGCTGCTGCCTCTGAAGGGCCATCACAGGGATGAGTGGCTGGGGACACCCTGTTTTCACTGCTGCAGCAGTGGCAGAGCCAGCATGGGGTGTCCTGGCATCGGCAGGACTCGGCTGCCAGGGTTGGACCCATTCCTGTGGCTGAGTCATGGAGAAAAGCAAACCCTGAGTGTGGCTGGTGTTGAGGATGGGCAGCAGGAAAGGTCTTCTGCACAGCTTCTGCTGTGGAGCGAGATCAGCCCAGCCCAGCCCAGCACTGATCCTGCAGAGCCCACAGAGCATCAAAATATTCCTGGGGAGAGTTGTTTGAAATGAAGGTGCCTCAAGTCCTACCTGCGTGGTGCTTCCCAACACTCTCCTCGGAAGAGCCCTGACAAGCGACAAGCACCGTGTAAAACCGCCGGTGAGATCTGCAGGAACCCGCACACGTCCGGGCTCCATCTGAGCGTGAACAGCAGGCTGCAGCACAGCAGGGGCTGAGGGGCTCATCTGCATATTATTAAGCAGCAGACGAGATCCGGGGAGCCGGCAGCGTCCCGGCCTCGGCTTCTGAATCAGCCAGTGACGTGCTGGAAAGCGCCGCTTCCCGGGGACTCCGGAGCCAGCTGCAAACGGGGATGAGCGGAGACACAGATCTGACGCAGCAGCTTGGCGCGGTGATTTACTGGGCACATAAATTACGACGTCTCGTTAATCATAATTTACTTCCTATCGCAAGAGCAGAAATGGGGAGCGGAGCGGTGAAGGCTGTTAACAGCCAGGAAGTGGGAGTGATGGCTCTGGCGAGCTGTGTGATTGTTCCCCTGCCACGAAAGTGCTAGCGGAGGGAATTCTGCCATTTGTGCATCACGAGCCCTGAACCATCCTCAGATTGCTTGAGGCCTGATCCAGGGTCTGTTTAATTTGAAGAGAGGCTCCCTATGTGTCTCTGCTCTCCCTCCCTGCTGTGCAGGACATCCATTAAAACTATTGCAGCTCCGTGGGTGTGGGTTTGGAGTCTGGCTCCCACTGGCAGTCAATAGGTGTTGGGCCCTGGGTAATTACAGCATCTGCAGGGATCCACAGGAGCTGCTGGCTGTTCCCTCAGGAGCCTAAATACACAAACAGGTTGGAAGAGCCAGAGCTGCCCGACCCTGGACAGCAGATGCATCACCCTGCTGCTACCACGGGCCATCTCTGCTCGGTCTCCACACTGGTATCTCTGGCCAGGCTCAGGCTGGGGGCTTCCATTCCAATTGTCTTGTTCTGTACTGCAGGAAAAATGTGCATTCAGCAGGACCCTGGAGAGATTGCTGCTGGGGGGGCTTTTTGTTGGAGCCTTGTATTCCTGAGCATCACCTCACCCGAGCCTGGCTACTTGCTAAGCCTGGATCCCACCTGAACCGTGGGCAGACCTGCATCCCACCCAAACCCCATCTGCAGCTGCCTTCCCCCTCAACCAATGGGCAAACCAGAAGCTTTGCAGATAAATGGCTGCAAAGAGGTGGCAGCCAGTGCCAGCTGGGAGATTCCTGGAGCCTCCTTTTTGCTGCAAGCCCCGACCTTGCTTGTAAATTGAAGCAGCAGGAGCTATTGAGCTGCCTGACTTCCCCCTCCAACACGTCCCAGGGCCAGAACCAGTCCTCTTTAAAAATGTACGAGGTTATTCGGCGCTGCTGCTGCCCCGCTGGGATGCACAGACCTGCTGTGAAGCCCCAACCAGGAGCAGGTCCCTCATGCCAAGTGATACCTCCCTGAAACTCAGTGGCTCTGAGCCGTTTGGCCTCCTCCAGGGGCTCCCTGGGAGCTGCTCCAGGGCATTTGCCCCGTGTTAGGTGAGGGAGGAGGAGGAGGTGGTGGTTATTTCCCCTCGGTATTACTGGCATTAACTGAGCAGCTTTTGCCAGCAGTCTAAACAAAGTCTCCTCAGTCCCTGACATGAATCCACCTCCCTTAGGTCTTGTCTTGACCACAGAAGCCTTTTCCCACATCTGTGCTGTTTGCTTTGCTCACGTTGTTTCCCTTAGTCATTATGTGGTCTCCAATAAAGCATTCTCTGCCTGTTAGGAGACTGGGAAAAAATCCTCACCATCAAAGCTCTGCTTTCTTTTCCCGAAAAGATGAAGAGCAAGCTGGCAGGTCAGCGGGCAGAAACATCCAAGAAATTCACTTGTGACAGCCAAAAAGTGCGTGGACAAACCACGCTGGGAGGATGGTGCTGGCAGTCTGTCCCCTGGAAGTTCCCTTCCTTGTCCTGCAACTGCACACTGCCTCTTCCCCCCTGCGCTTCTGGCACGGGTTTATATTTTGCTCAGATATTAAGAATACTCAAAGAAAGATTGTGGCACAAAGGTTTTAGTTTGAAACCAGAGGAGTGATGGCTTCTTCAAGGAGCACTGCACACCCCTGCTGTCAGCCTGTCTCCCCAGGCCCTGCACACCCACCTGAGAGCTTTGGGTGTCCCACGGCTCCATGAGGGGTCTGGGGCTCATCAAGCTGGGGATTGGAACACCCTGTTGGATGGGTGCCAAGACCAGCCCATGCTGGTGCTGGATGGATCCCTGCACTGACCAGATGACCAGGGCTGCTTGGATCCACGTCAGCTCTGAGGTTCACTTGTAGTCTCCCATGGAAGGGCAGCAAAATCAGAAAGCAATGTAATTATCATCACAGAAACAACGATTTCTGCAAGAAAACCACCCTGCACGTGTGTAGCGAAGGGTTATGTGGATGCTGGGACTGTCAGTGGTGGGGGGATACAGCAGGGACAGGGCCCTGGGGCTCTGGCTGTGGGGTCCCTGGGGAGCCTGGGGCTGAGACCCTGGGGAGAGCTGAGCTGAGCCTCAGCAGAGGCCACGTCTTCCCTGCGAGCACTGCCAGCGGCTCGGGAAGGTACAAATTGCTTCTCTTAGCGGCTGCCTAATAGGTGGTTTCTGGGGACCTGCCAAGATAAAAAGGAAATGTGATAAATATTGTTAGCTGAGATCAGGTTGGAGGGAGTGCTGGGTATCCCTGGCTGGGGAGCACAGCCGTCCCTCCTGGCACTTGCAGGCTGGTGGAGTGCAGAGAGGTGGCTCTGGGTGCCAGGAGTGACTCCCAACTGCACCACCCGCTCCAGGCGTGGGTCACCCACACACCTCCCAGCCCGTCCCAGCCCACCCCTACAGCGGGACAGCCCAGGGCAGAGATGGACAGAGGCACGGAGATCCACGCAGGGCTGTATTTGCACTGTGGGGTCCCCGTGCCCTGGCTGGGGATGGGTGTGGCGGCTCCCACCGACCGCTGCTCTGCTTTGCCTTCCAGCACAGCTACCGGGAGGTGGGGATCCTGCTGCTCTACCTGGCCGTGGGGGTCTCTGTCTTCTCTGGAGTGGCCTACACTGCCGAGAAGGAGGAAGACGTCGGCTTTGACACCATCCCCGCGTGCTGGTGGTGGGGCACGGTCAGCATGACCACCGTGGGCTACGGCGACGTGGTGCCCGTCACGGTGGCGGGGAAGCTGGCTGCCTCGGGCTGCATCCTGGGGGGCATCCTGGTCGTGGCGCTGCCCATCACCATCATCTTCAACAAGTTCTCCCACTTCTACCGCAAGCAGAAGGCGCTGGAGGCGGCCGTGAGGAACAGCGGCAAGAAGGACCGCGAGGAGGTGGAGAGCGTCTCCAGCCGCGACCGGGAGGACTCGGAGGCCCTGAGCGAGACCTCCCTGGGCAGGGGCAGCCCTGACCGCCGTGGCCTCACCCCCGGCACCCACCCCAGCCCCTGACCCACCCCCCGTGGCACTGGGGCACGCGGGACCCGCTCGCTCGCGGCGAGCACGGCGCGGCTGCTGCACCGGGCGCGGCGGAGGAGCTGGGCTGCACCTCGGCTGGCATCGCCCCGGCCCTGCCAAGGACAGGAGGGGATGCAGGAGATGCCCAGTGGGTGCTGGCTGCTTCCAGCCCCTGGGATGCAGTGGCTGGGCCTGCCTGGATGTGTTTCAGCCTTCACCCTGCTCCCCTCCCCGGCTGCAAACGGAGGCTCTGGTGCTGGACATACTCCTGCCAAGAGGGGAGGGAGGAAAAAGAAATACAGGTGACCCCTTACCAGGCACTGCCCCAGCTGGGTAGAGGGGGATTCTCCTCTGCCACGAGGTTGTGTGTTGTCCAGGGTGAGGCTAAATAGCTCAAGGGTGAGGCAGTTCCTGACCAGGCTGGCTGCCCCTGCAGGTCCTCTGCCAGGTCAGCAGCAACTCCAGCCCCAGCCTTGTCCTACCCCCGGCTGGAAACAGCCTCAGAAGGCTCAACTGGCCCCCCAGCCATAAAGGAAACGGGGTTGGAAATGAGTCTGTATAAGGGGAGAGGTGGTATCAGCTCAGGGTGAGCCCCACTGTCCTCAGTCCCTGCAGTGGGGTCGACTGGACCTCACCTTCCTTCCAGCTGGGGTTTATCTGCTCGCCTGTCCTGCCACTGCTGGGATCCCCAGGGATCTGGGACATGGCACAGCCAGGAGTGCTGTCCATGCAGGGGGCACCAGCCAGGGATGAGAAGGCAGAAGGGACATTGTCCTCTGGGGCAGGAGCAGCTGAAGGGGATCAAGCTGGGGGACCTGAGGAGCCATCCCCAGTGGGGCTCTCCTGTGCCACGGGAGCCCAGGGGCTGCAGCAGGCCATGGTGGGGCAGAAGGGACAACCAAAGCCTGGGTTTGGCACACAGCCTGTTCCCCCTGACCACAGCCCCCAGCCTGGCCTCATTCTGCCTCTTCCTTCCTTGCCTCAGGGCCAGGCAGGGCAGGAGGGCTGGAAAGAGTGGGGGGTCACACTGCCCTGGGTGTCCTCGCTGTCCCCCTAGGGAGCTGAGCTCTTGGGGGGCTGATTCACTCCCCTTCCCTCTGCCAGAGGGGGCACCCCCTTGTCCGTGGGACAGAGGAGACCTTGCACTGCTCCTTGGTGACCAAGCACCTCACAACAGGGCAGGGAGGTCCACCTGGAGCACCAGACTGCCCTCCTGCCTGGACCCCCAGCCCACCTGAGCACATCTGGGGCTGCTCCCAGCACAGCATCAATTCCTTGTGGAGTCTTTCCTTGCCCCCATGGTTCTCTGTTCGGAAATCGTGCAGCTCTGTCCTGCACAGAGGAACACACCCAGCAATGCCCGTTCTGAGCAGGGCAAATGTGCATCCTGCAATCCCCAAATCGGCTCCAAACCACGCTGGAGGCTGCAGGGTGACCCTGGGTACCTGGGTTTGCTGCTGGCTGTCCTGGCTGGGTGTCGGCACAGCCGCAGTTGCTGATGCTGGATCTGCTGATCACGGGCAAGAAAAGCCAAACCAACACCAGTGCAGGCCCAGCCTTCCTGAACCCCTCAGGGAGGGTCCCCGAGGAACAGTGGTGTGGGATAGCAGGGTGTTCACGCTTCTGGCATCATCAAGTCTTCCAGTATCGATGGTTTGTGGTCTGCTCTGCGCTCAGTCCTGCCGTGAGCTGGGACTGGGGACCGGCTCCCGCTGCACTGTTACTTGAATAAAGGAAGGAGTTTCCCCTTCTCACCATAAATATTCCAGTAGCAAAACGTATTAAAATGTGAAATTACATCTACTAATGAAAAAAGCATTATGCAAATAATTAGGAGCATGTAAATTGATTTTATATCTATGCATGGGATGCATACTGTATATTTTATTAAAGACCTCAGTGACCTGCTGGGGACTCTGGTTTCTGTTTCGTGGCAGCTGCCCATCCTGATGCTGGGTGTGGCTCTGAAGTGAGGGGGTATCTCTGGGCTGTTGCTCTGCAAAGGCTGGCTGGGGAGGGCAGGACTTACCACTGCTCTTCCTGTGTCAGGTGCATTCCTCTGCTGGGTGTGATAGGAGCCAGGGGTAAAAACAGAATTTAATCTCTATTCCTTTGAGAGCTTTTCCATTAAAAAAAATCAAAATCCACAAGCTGCTGGTTGTTCCAAGGGGCTATAAGCAAGGACATCCTTCGGGCCCCTCTGGGGCAGCAGCTCTCGGAGGGGGCCGCTGCACAAGAGCTCCGAGATCGGGTTTGGGGAAGCCATGAGAGAGATGTTTTCTTTTTTTAGCCTCCTGCACCCTGCGAAGACATTAGGATTTGTATGGCTCTGAGTAACTGCACTGGGAAAATCCTCCCACTGCTGTGCAGGCAGATCTAGCGGAGCTGGAGCTGTGCAGAGCAGGGAAGAGCCGGGTGCAGGAAGGTGCCCAGCAGCAGTGGGTGAGCACAGCCCACGCTCCCGCTGCAGAGACACGGCTGTGCTGCCAGCACGGGGCTGGCTTACTATTTCTAAGGCAAGGAGGAAACTCGTGTTCTCTCGCTAATCCCTCATCAGTTTTCCTGAGTTGACTGCCTTTTTCATTTGGTACAGTGGGTAAATCAATTACACACTTTATCAGGTTATTCCTACCGAGCTGCTTTCCACATTCACAAAATGACTGATGAAAGCATGACTCTCCTGCCTCCAGGGAATGGTGATTAAGGAGTGACCTTATTAAGCTGTTTAATGCAGCCGAGAATTAGACAACTCTCCTCAAAGAGACAAAGTAAACTTCATTACTTCTGCTGGAAACTTCTTTTCCTTTGCCAGCCCTAAGCACCGAGACTACCCTGAGCACGGTCTGTGCACTCGGGAGGTTTTGAAGGGTTTGATCTGTAGGAAGGGAAGGCTCCTCACTGACACGTTTCTGGGATCTCTCCTGCTCACAGGTTCCTACAGCCCTGCTGACCTCAGTCAAAATGCAAGCTGAGTGCTTGAGCACACTGCTTGATGTGTTAAACCAGTGCTACTGGTATCTGCACTGTGTAAGGAGATCAGTAAAGACAAACAGTGCAGTAATTCTACTTTTTGTTTTACAAAGCAATGCTAAAACACTTCCTGCTGGTAGAGGTTTACCTGAACCACAGCTGTTAACTCGGTTACAGGAAACACAGAGTCTCGAGGCTTCCATTCCAAGCGTCTGAGAAAGCCAAAAGAACAGCCTCGAAGGCACGGAACTGAATGAACCAGATATGCCTAGACAGGCCAAACCACTTCTGGGAACGAAAACCACAGGTCAGATGTGCAGGGAGGCACAAAACCAGTGATGTTCACATCATGTGCATGTTCACACCCAGACCTCGAGTCTGGTGAGAGCAGAGGGGGAAAACTTTTTCAGGACCATCCCCTGTGTGGTGAAGCAGTGAAGGCCCAGGGCTTGTGAGCCCCTCGGGCTGAGGAAAGCCCACCCCCCAGCTCAGCCATCTGATGTCTGTGCAGAGGTAAGAAGCTGCTGTGACCACTCAGGGTGGGACTCAGGGCTCCCTCCACTTCCAGCACCCCGTTGATTTGAGGAGTGACAACCTAGAGGGGAGCAGAACAGACTGTCCTTCAGAGTTGGAACTGTTCTCAAGTTTATAAACACACTGGCTACCTTCCTGGGCTCTTAAATTAAAGGCCAATTAACTTTCAGTCTAGAAAGAGGTGATGGCTGTTTCCTGGTTTGACCCTTCAGGATTTTGCCAGAGTGATTAGCGCAATGAGAAGCTGTCAGCGCTCGAGGCAGGGCTGGCAGCCAACGCTCAGAGCGTTTATCCAAGCTCACACTCCTCTGGCCTGTGCACAGGAGGAAATGGGACAAAATGAGGGTGTAGGAAATGAGTAGCTGGGCATTCAGGACACTGGCACAGCAGCCCCTGCACTTTAGTGCTGATAATTGTTAATAAGTGCTGATCCTACAGGTTTAGTGGAGAGTTGACTTTTCCCCTTACTGGGGAGAAAAACCTGGCTGAACATCAGTCCCAGCGCTCAGGCACCTGTCAGTGTTGGTTTTGTTCCTTATTTGCAGCTAATATTTGTGCAGCAGGTGCAGAGCTGCCGCTCCATGGTATGGCAGCACTGGGAACACAACCCTGCCTTTGTTCTGGGGCTCCACAATGTCCTGGTAGCATTGCTGAGGATATGGGAGAGCTCCAGGCTTTCCCAGTTACTAGAAATGCCTGCAGCCTCCCTCCCTTTGATTTCCACGCTCCTTCCCAGCATTTAAAAGCTCCCATCTATTTTGTTTCTTCCGGGATTGCTAACCAGAGCTGACTCCTGAATGAATTCTGTCTCTGCTCCCGTTAGTCATCCCCCCAGGACAGATTTAGTAACTGCTCAGGGAAACCACGTCGAAGCCAACAGTTCACCATGGGAAGGCAGCACCCACTCACTGTCAGCTTCATCTTTTTCTGAGCTAGAAAGCTCCAAGTGAGCCAGAATTGGGAGTGAGCCTCCAGCCTCACCTGTTGTGTAGGAAGGTGGATAAATTGATCTGTACCCAGTCCCAAACCTGACTGCAGGCTCAGGGAAGTTGCTGCAGGGACAGCAAGGACCTACAGCAGAGTTCAGCACCCCCATCTGCCAGAGCACAACTCTCCTGCATGACTGGGGCTGCAGGCAGGGCTGCCCATGCTCCTTGTTCCAAAATGTTTGTCTGACATGTTTACTGCCTGTGTTCCTGAAAGCTTGTACTCTCCTCCAGAATGTTGCATAACACTGGCTGACTGGAGGTACATCGTGTTTAAACTCACCCTGATAAGCAATAAACACACCAAAGCATTTTAATGCACAAACATGAGTCATGACACTACCTGAGGCTTTCAGGTAGGGACAGTTTATTTGCCCCTTGGAACAAATAAGGCAAGATGTTCGAGAAAGATCAAATAAAATCTCCTGTATCAAACTGAGAGGAATGCAATAAAAGTTACTATTTCATACATATACAAACTAAAGACCCAACACTATTATATACAAACAGCCAGATCTTAC